TGGTAGTACCGCCATTTTATATCCCCTCCCAGTTTCATACTGGCCTCCACCATCAACACAATTCTAAGTCCCATACTGGTGCCCAAGTCATCTTTAAGGGAGCCAGCAGGAAGAAAAATCCCTCTTTATGCTTATTTGCAGCACCTGTGTTGTTCCAAGCTTCTGTGTTAGTTGGTGAGAAGCAGAATAGCAAAGCAGAAAGAGCAAGGGTTTTGCAGTCAGACAAGTCTAGGCTTGAATCCTAGCTCTCCCCCTCTCTAGCTGAAAGACCTCGGTTGAGTTATTTAACCTCTCCGGGTCTCAGTTTCTTTATGTGTACAATAGGGATAATAACAGCATTGCTTCATAGGGGTGTTGTGAAGTGAAATGAGATAATATCTGAGAAGCACCTTGCTTAATATGCCACTTGTCTAGTGCTCCTTTGTTATACATGTGGCTCAATGCAGATAACAATGCAGTAAAAACATTTCTGACAGACATCCTTGGGAGAGGCTTTCTTATTTTATTTTTAATTTTTCTTAAATGTTGAAATAATCACTCCAGTCAATATTTTCTTATTGCATTAGAGAGGAGGGCTGTATCCAGGATGCATGATAAGAGTCTTCTTTATCTTATGAGGGTCTTCCTTTGGTCTGTGTGATAAAAAATTCAAGGACCCAAGATGAAGAATATCGTCTCATCAGGATTTTGTGGCTGTGTTGACACCATTATCTTTTACTATGCTGCACTCTTAATTGACATGCTATTATAATTAGGGATTTTATGAGACTTGAAAGGAACAAATCAGCAGTGTAGACATAGTATTTACTGAAATAAAAAACACACAAAAATAGAAGAGTAGGCAAAATGATCACACCACTAAGAGGTTGGAGCTGCGAGACAGCTGGAAAACATGGACTCTTGCACTGGACTGACTCGTGGACTCTGAAATATTTGCCGAGAGCCCAGAACGCAAATTTCATTCATAAATGTGCGGCAGCTTAGTGGGACTCAGCTTCAAGGTGCTGTTTAGAACCAGGTGTGGTGTAGAGTGGCTGAGGTATAAGACTGAGGATATAAGAGCACCTAAACCTAAATCAGGACCCCGTTGCTCAGGTGGATGAAGCCCTCTGAGCTGTCTTCTATGAGGAGCTTGCAAGCAAAGGGTTCAACTGAAAAGGGTGCCAAGAAGAACAATTAAAATGACTGAACGCCTGCTTACACAGCCTGGGTAAGCCCAAGCAAGGTCTTGAGAATGTGAAGGGAGTATCATGGTGATGCAAAGCATTTGCTTTCTGTGTTGCTGAAGACAGAATGTAAGAGAATGGACGGACTTTATGTTGTAACAGGAAGGAGTCAGGTTAGACAGCAAAAAAAACTACCCATGACAAAAGTTGAGATACCAAAACATTGCTAAATGGAATGTATATGTATTTTCTGGCTGTACATGGAGAAAACTAAACAGTTAATTCAGCTTCATGCTTTTTTAGTTTCCAGTGAGTGTGATGGGCAAGATGTCTCTCTTTTTCTTTCCAAGTTCTTTCTTTTTGATTAAGAGCTCCAAAGACCACATTTGGCCTATGTTTATCCCAGTGAACACTATTACCAAAAATGGCAAACTTTCCATATAGGAATGTATTTTAAAATTGACGTGAACTTCACATAACATAAGATTCACCATTTTAAAGTATACATTTCAGTGACTTTTAGTACATAATGTTGTGGAACTTTGACACTATCTAGTTCCAGAACATTTTAGTTACCCCACAAGGAAACCCCATACCCATTAAGCAGTCACTACCCATTCCCCTTCTACTACGAATAAGCTTTCTTTCTGTCTCTATAGACTTGCCCTAGGAATATATTTCTTTTGGAATATTCTGAATTCTGCATTTAGTTTTCCACCTAGAGACTGCAGACTACTGAATGTCTCTCTCTCTCTCTCTCTCTCTCTCTCTCTCTCTCTCTC